CTGATAGCCATAAAAGATGAATCTATTTTGTACTTTAAACCAAGCAAAATTGCGTAGTTGATCGATCTTGATTTCAGTTTCTTCGAATATGCGCATCCGTTTATATATACTGTTATTACTGGGTGCGTCCGGTGCTACCTCTAATTCCAGTCCCCCAACCTTTCTGGATTTCGCAAACTTTACGGCGACAGAAGCGCAGATTAGGAACAAGTGTCCGTCCAGTTCCGTCTTTGACAAGTTGAAGGTAAAACCGAAACGCGATCACGCACTTAGTGAATTTGTTAACTTAGGCCGGGTACGAAGAGTTTCAACTGGACACGATTCTAAATGAATCGAAATCGTACCGAAAAAATACTTATTGAAAAATGGATCAAAAAAAGCAGTATATCAAGAACGGGCGTATTTACTTCAAAGTATTTACACAAAAACAACTTTGAAAGGAGGTACTGTTTTAATTGATTGTGCGTGCAACGTAACACATATAGTTAACAGCTTATTATCTGACATCCCTAGTGGCACAGAAAGTAGATGGTGCAACAATCAATTTTGTTTAAGAGAAAACATCAACAGAAATATAGGTATCTTCCCTATTTTAGAAACTGTTTTAGAAGACGGTATTGCGAATCTTGAGTTTGCAATCAAGGAAGGACTTAAAGTGCCTGAGAAAGATTGTTTTCAATGTGTTTCTTCTGCAATGACACAGTTTGCTCAGACAAACGTCAACTCTAAATCTAAAAGTGATGCGCTAAGTAATATTTCATCGTATCAAAGGAAAATTGTACAAGAGGTCAAACCAGGACCTCACATTTTTATAGAATTAGATATGTCCTTAGGTAATCTCAACAATCTATGTGAATTAAAAAAAATACCTTCAACAATAACACTAAATAATACAGTGTATACTTTACGAGGTGTTGTTCATTACATTCCTCCTGTAAAAGGAACGATGGGTCACTATGTGTCTTATTGTCGTCGAATAGATGGAATATGGGAGATTTTTGACGATCTCAAGTCAAAAGTTTTAAGAACAACAACAGAGGAAGTAGTAAACCCTCATCTTCTTTATTACACGGTATAAGTGTGTTTATGTTATAGGAATTAAAAGATTTGTTTTTTTTTTGTTTACATACATTTATATATTATATTTGTTAGAATATGTATTGATTTTTTAGAAATTACATACGAGTAAAACAACAAAATAACTTTACAAATAGTAGTATACATCTTCACCTTTCAAAGCAGAAGTATTCTAGCAGACATTGAACTTTTATAGAAATTTCTATCAAAACTAGTTATGGTATAACCTTCTGTGATGTGTAGCACAAATGCTTGAGGTTGAGTTTTAGCACAAAATAGCAAAAATTAGAAATTAAATGGTTAATTAACTGTTTAAAATATATAGCACGCATTCTTGTATTGCAGCACAAAATGGCACGAATTGGACACCAAATTTTTTTTAGTTTTTATCCCAATCGGACAGCTTGGTTGTGCTAGTGTTAATTGAGCACCACCACAGTTTTTTACAATAACTTTTTACAACGTGTAGCACAAATTCTTGTATTACAGCACGAAAGAGCACTAAATAAGCACTAAATTATGACAAAATTACAAATAGATTATAAAACATGGTGGTGCTAGTGTAAAGTTAGCACCACCACGGTTTTTTTCTAATAACTGCTTAAAATATGTAGCACGAATGCTGGAATTTCAGCACGAAATAGCACGAATTGAGCACTAAATTTTTTTAAAGTTTTATCTTAAACGGACAATTTGGTTGTGCTAGTGTAAATTTAGCACCACCACAGTTGATTTACAATAACTTTTTACAACATGTAGCACGAATTCTTGTATTACAGCACGAAATATCACGAATTGGGCACTAAATTATGACAAAATTACAGACAGATTAAAAAGCATGGTGGTGCTAGTGTAAAGTTAGCACCACCAACAGTTTTTTTTAGATATCTTGTTTTGTTATGCAGCATGAATTTTGGTATTAAAGCACGAAATAGCATGATTATAGCCCTAAACGTGTGCAACATTTCAGCTCGATTGGAAAACTTGGTGGTGCTAACTTTACGCACCTAACATTTCCTTGTTTCTCTTCCAGTGCTGTCGCTACCAGCTGAAGTGGCTATATTTAACTTTTTTTTGTAGTAGATGACACTTGCCATTGGAATTGGAAATTGAGAATTTCACTTGTTAAACTCGAAATTTAACTTCTTCTGTAAGCGTCGGAACATGCTACTTGTTGCTGGCCTGATTTTTTCTTAGTGGTCCCATATATTTCCCATAAGTCATTCAAATTTAAAACACCACGAGCAATAATTTCCTCTAGCTTGCCTCACGGTACGCAAAACAATATATTATAATATACACCTAAAGACTGGTCACGTACCTACTCCCACAACAAATCCCTATTGCATTCGTGAAATCCATAACTCAATGTTCACATTGCGTTTATGAAAATATTACAATTTACCGTACAATACAAGCAATCAAACCTAAGCATCCACTTATAGTAACTCATTGCTTTCTTTCCCTAACGATAACTACCTTAGTGAATTTATAGCGCTAATGTAAACGCAGCACGATTTTTGCAGGTTAGTACGATTATAAATTAACAAGGTATTCACTACAACAAAAAACGAGATACGTTAAAATTTAAAACGTCATTTTGACCTAATTAGTGTTCCACATACAACGTGCATGCCAAATTAAGTTATAATTGTATTCAAATACAATTAAATTAGGAACTTAATTTGGAATGCTGCTTTCTGGACTTTTTTTATGCCGAATAAGCTGGAATTATGAATTTTGTTCCTAATCTTTCTTTTGCGTAATTTTCTATTGGTTTTCGGTACAGATATGAAAATAACTAATTCACATTGTATATTTTTACTGAAGTTTTAATAAGGGGAGCCGAGTACGTATTTAAAGTAGTATTCAAATAACGTCCGGAGAAGTTCCAAAATTTGCGACTGTCCTTTTATATAATTTTTCCAGTAACCATAGGACATATAGGGTGTACTCAACCGATTTACGAGGGCTCGTTTTTATATTCCCGGACGAAGCATGAAAACAAGAACAAAATTTTATTTTTTAATATACATAGTTCGCCTGCTTTTGAATACAGATTTAACAATGTTTCAATAACATCTTTATCCCAGTATAAAAATAGTCATTGGGTTTTTCCACAAAATGGCCCTCAACAGATGCTATAAGTTCGTCGTTGTCCCTAAATTTTGTCCCCCTTCGTGTTTTCTTGAGATTTGGGAACAAAAGGAGTAGGGTAGTAACGCCAGGTATCCTTGCATTTGAGTATTATTATTATTCTGCTTTCAGCCAAGTTGGTGTTGTGCCTTTAAATGCCCTAGATCTTTATTAAACCCTAACTCATACAACTGTTTTTCTTCTACGACGCTCGAGTAAATCGTAGACTCCCCTGCTATTCATTTCACCTCGTTTGGAAGCCATTTGTTTTATTTTTGAATGAAATTCCCATCGACTTCAGTTATCCTTTGACTACAGGTATTGTTTATGTTCAACCCTTTCAATTTCTTTACCCTTTTAGCTATATCAAGAACATATATGCAAGAGGGTCCTTTTGCAGGAGATGGTGTGATGACCTCTTTGGTTTTACGAGAGGAAAACAACTATACCAAATTAATTAGTTTGTACCTGACCACTCTACTTCACAAATATGCCGATAGATAGATAGATATCCAATTAAAATACCAACTTTGGCTTTTTTTACTGTGACATTTTGTCTCCCAGACATCCAGAACCCAGTGATCAAACAATGCTCTACAGAAATTAAAAGGCGCAACTTTCAATTCCACCAAAACCTTACAGATTGGTTCTTGAAATTCCACTAGCCACGCAATTTATTGGAAAATCGCCCCTCTAAACACCATGTAAATGTTCTATTATAAGATGTAATGCTAACCTGCTCTAACCCTTAAAATTCAAAAAAGTTCAACTTTACCCTCTAAAATATTTTTCACTCGCAGGTACCAATCGTTTCTGGACCTGAAGGTACCTTGCTTATTAAAATAAATAAATAAAAAAGGATTCCATGTTTTTTTCTGCTTTGTCTTCTACTGTTACCAGCTCATTAAAATTCCTAGTTTTCCTCGGTCGTAGTAATTGTTGCTTGCTTGGCTTAGTGAATGTAATGGGAAAAACAGAGCCTGTATTTTTCACCTTTCTTGATGACTTGTAGAGATTGTCGAATCTCCCGATTTGGGTGATAATTAAATTACGTTGTGTATGTACCTCTTTTTAAATGTAAATTGCAAAGCTTAAAAGATGCCATTGTCTTAATGAGAACCATATAAATTTTAATTATGAATTAGTCAAAACAACAAACACATTACGTATGTTTGTGCTCGTTTTTCACAGTCAAAATTGCGCAATTGTTTTCAGTCTGAAGCGACGTACCTATTGGCAAATCGACTTTTCGCGATTGATTCATACTTTCTACAGTGAAGGGACCTCACTCCATACTGACAATATCCCTAAAACCCTTGTCAAAGAAAATTAAATCCAAGATGCAACTTTTGTAGTGCGTTATATTTTATAGGAAATTGAGATGTTTCGGTAGTCTTTATTGTTTTTTATGAGGCCCATTGTGCAAGATTTACAATTAACGCACTTGCACGACCTTTAACAATTGGAGTAATAAAGTAATTGGAGGTGATAGACGTAAAATCACGATAGTAACGGGTTATAAAGTTTTTACGTTGCCTAAACGATTCAGATTTATAGCGTTTCAGCTTCAAGAAGCTTTCCAAAGCCTTTTGCATTATACACCCTAAGGGTTGTCGTAAACTAAATTTAATAATATTACTAGCGAACGTACTGCCGAATTCAGGATTTCGCATTTTTTTGTCCGAAATAATCCGATTTAACACTTTGATGCATCCTTCTGGTACCTACAGCAAAATGTCAGTGACGTAGTGACCAGTAGTGAATACCGTGTCACAAGAGCTACTCACCTAAACTAAGTTCACCATTATCACGATCTGCAACAAGAAAAAACTTTAGTTCACAAAACACTTCAGTTAACAACTTTCTCTTCGCCACAAATTAGTGCGTCCAGTTTTCCTTAATAAGCGCGTACCTTGAACCTAATCGACAACATTACGTAACAACGAACTGTTAAAGTAGGCCGACTGTCCGGAACGTTATCATCACGAATTCTCTGATAATACTGGCGAAGTACCGAGGTCACGAGTACTGCCAATTTGCATTTGCCTTTCGCAAGACAATGGGCATAAATTAAAAGTGAGAATTTTTGAGAATTTTGTGAGGTTGATGATTTTTGGGTAAACGCGAACGTGTGAACATTACGTAATTTCACTTGAGGATCAGTTTCTTTAATTTTTCTTTGGCTAAATCCGACATACACAATTTTTTAATGAATAAAAGAAGCATAGATTCGTCCTTGTTGTTCAAACTGCCGCGGTGCAATTGTTTGTATTCGATTTTGGGTTCTATTTGCAAGACTTTCTGGATCGGGAAACAGAAGGACTTGGGGGAAGCAAATTTTTATTTAAATAGCCGCTTTTTAATTTGTTTATTTATTAAATTGTTAAGAATTTACGTATTGTAAGATAAGGAACATCATTAGCGTAATTTGTAATAAGTTTATCTCATGCTTTTTCTCCTTTCGTAGATAAGAGTTGCTTATCACTAACACTTAATTTCATTTGAAACAAATGTTTGTCGCAGGTGGGCGTCTAGATTTGAGAATTGTGCATATTTTAATAATAGAGTTATAAAATGGGATGGAAGAGATTGAAATCTATTATACAGAAGAGAAAGTGTTTTAACGTGGCCGGTTACCCTTTTGAACTAAATGTGAAGTAATGTTTGATCAAGCGCTTGCATGTATGGTTTCTTGTCACTGGCACTGTCGCCACGTTTCATTACAGCAAATATTGAATAAATTTGTGCTGTGTTTAAATGAACAGTTTTATATCAGTTTCGTATTAGAGCCCCCCAAGTTACGACCTGTATAGTATATTTTATGGGTTTAATGCAAATTGGCTATTGTGAGGAACTTGATTTTTGAGCTAGCTGGATAGGTGTTTTATGGGTGTCATAGTGACCGCATGCCATTGCTACAGCATTATTTATTTGGCGCCCGACGTGGAGAAATGTGAAATTTTGGTCAAATTTGCTCATTTAAATTCAAATTGGGAAAGTTTTTGTAGTGGGTTAAATTATCTCTGGTACCCAGACGTTTATTTAATCAGGATTTCTTACAGGATGAGTTACAGGGGTAGGTAGAGTTTAAAAAAATGATTTGGATAAAGAAAAACGTCGTTTAAAAAAGAAGAAACAAGTAATAATGCCGATGCAGGCACCGGAAGGGCATTTCGCCGCGCTCATCGAGACAATGGAAGCAATAAGGACATCGGTGGCGTAATTGAATGAAACATTGGACACGAAGATGGCTGTGCAGAATGCGGAACTAAATGAAATCAAAGAAGTAGATGGATACCGGAGGGAGACGGACCAGAAAATGGACCAGGTTGAGAGTCACATTCAAATCCAAGCAAAGGAACGCGATACGGAAGATTAGAAGGAGGTTCAAGAGACTATAATGTAAAGATAGTCATTTAGAAGACAGTCACAAGGAACCCGATGAGCTGAAAGAAGAGAACGAAAAAGTAAAAGAATCGAATGGTGTCAAAGAAGAAACAAATGATGTAGAGGACAAAACGCGAACATGGGTCTGCAGAAAAAAAATGAGAGCACAGCCAGAAAACAGGGTGAGGATACAGAAACCACTAAGGATACAAAAAATTCTGATGAAAGAATATATGAAACTAATAAGATCGATACCGTAGAAGATACGAGTCAAGAAAAACAGAAAAGTGCGGACGTTTGGCGCGTTCCGTCGTTGATTGGCGATTTTTTAGAAAATTCTCAAAGAAGGAGTTTATTTTATGGTGAAAGTGGTGTTTCCGTAAATGGATGAAGAGTGTGTACATCTTATTATACTAAATTACGGGCAGCAAGCTTTACTTGTTTTGTTAAAAATGCAGTTCGTCATTATTTCGTAATAGTTCTGTGCAGAAGCAAATTATCCAAAGTTGTGTGAGAACTATAACGCGTGTTGCCCGATTACGGAAAGAGTTTCGTCGAAATGAAAAAGGAAGCAGTCGCAGTACAGCGAGACTTTTCGTTGAGGTTCTCTTTTAAAAGTTAAAAGTTTCTACCGTCCGAACAGCTACCGAAAATTTGTTCATCTTATTCATCAAGCCAGCTTTGTTTTTCATATAATTCTGTGTTACAAAGCAAAGTAAAGTACAGACACTGTCAGTGTTTCTATGTTTCTATGTTACGGGTACCAAATGTTCCAGTTCCAGTTTTTTTACGGTTACGATCTTGATGAAACTGCTCATTCAGGGAAACTTTCTTAATTAAAAAAATGAACAAGAAGTGTATAAATCAGATTTTTTTACGATCCGGATAAAATTGCTCATCTCTAGGGCAGCATTTTTTAATTCGAACAAAAGCAGTTAGGAGGAGTTCTAAAATCTATCGACAAGCTTTTTGACTTTTACGTTCAATTTTCGTGGTAGACTGATGCCAGCAGTCAGTCACTAACCCTATAACGATTTGGGATGTACTTAATCCGATTTACGGGTAGTGTCGGGGCGAAACTTCGATTCGCCGAAGCGAAGGACCTCTCAAAACCATTAAGGGCACACGTCTGGTTGCCTGGGGCTCAAGTAGAATCGAAGAAGATTCGAAATCCAAAACTCTGGAGTTACAATCAGCAATATCGCCAATTGGCGTGTGACAAACGGAAAGGAGGACTTCAAGGAACAAACTCTGATTGTCCAAACTCCACGTGAACTTCACGAGGATGACGCTCAACCTCCTCTCCAGCGAAGTTGATGCGCGAGGAGCTAACAAGCATGGAGTGCGAAGACTCAACAGCAGTTACGAGGCTCTCAGGGCCACAACCAACTCTTCCAGCCACTGTACTTCAGTAGGTAAACCCGGTTTTACTATTTTATTAATGGTAAAAGTGGCACAAATTAAGCTGCATGACAGTAGAACGGCATCTGCCACCTCTTGTGCATACAAGAGCAAAGGTTATATTGGTACAAGAACTTTGGACCACATACCACCCTTATGATCAACCTTATCCAAAACTAAGCATAGAAGTTACCAAACTAGTGGAACATTGTCAGCAGTTTTGCTTCAGTCACACTTTTTGGGATCAAAGACCCTCGCTCAAAATCATCAATTGCTCTAGAATCACTTCTCAGGGGGAACAGAGGAGATTGTCGGTGTACAGAATTGGACTGGGACTATCAGCCCGTTATGCAGGGGTGAGGAAGAAGAAACACCCAAATTCCAAAATTACAGAAGAGGAAGTTTGCCCTATCAAAATCCTGGACTTTGTTAAGGTACAGGTATTCTTGGAGGGTGGATAATACCGGGAAGTACAATAGACCAAAAGGTATCTGTTACTCTAACAAAAAAAACCTCATGCTCTCCTCACGTAGGTTCAAGCAAAACTCACGAAAGAGCACTTGATCGAAAATTGCACGACAGAACCATTACACGATTTTTCTGGAAACCCCAACGGGGAATTAGCATCGTCCATCTTAAAACTAAGAAAGATGAAGACAAAACTTCCGTCAGAGAGGGTCACAGACCACTGTCGGTGTACAGAATTGGACTGGGACTATCAGCCCGTTATGCAGGGGTTGTGGTGAGCAAGAAGAAACACCGAAATGCGAAAATTTCAAAAGAGAAAGTTTGCTCTATCAAAATCCGGGACTTTGTTAAAGATACAGGGTGGATAATACCGGGAAGTACAATAGAGCAAAAGACTAGGGGGAAACAAGTACCAGTTTTGGTGTACACCAAAAATTCAAATTCAAATTAATTCACGTTAATTCAAATTAATTCAGGTTAATTCAAATTAATTCAGGTTAATTCAAATTAATTCACATTAATTCGCGTTAATTCAAATTAATTCACGTTAATTCAAATTAATTCAGATGGGTGTACACCATAAATTCAAAGTTGTTTCCCGAGGGGGAAACAAGTACCATTTTTGGTGTACACCAAAAATTCAAATTCAAATTAATTCACGTTAATTCAAATTAATTCACGTTAGTTCAAATTAATTCGCGTTAATTCAAATCAATTCAGGTTAATTCAAATTAATTCATTAATTCGCGTTAATTCAAATTAATTCACGTTAATTCAAATTAATTCAAATTAATTCAGATGGGTGTACACCATACATTCAAAGTTGTTTCCCGAGGGGGAAACAAGTACCATTTTTGGTGTACACCAAAAATTCAAATTCAAATTAATTCACGTTAATTCAAATTAATTCAGGTTAATTCAAATTAATTCACATTAATTCGCGTAAATTCAAATTAATTCACGTTAATTCAAATTAATTCAGATGGGTGTACACCATAAATTCAAAGTTGTTTCCCCCTAGGCAAAAGATCATAGTGCAGTAATCGACTGGGACCACCCCTAATACAATAATAATAACAAGGCAGGTAACTATCGAGTAATTGGTGATTTTTGATGCCTATGTACAAACTCTGATTTTGGGGACGGATCAAATAGATCCATTAACCTTATTGATTTTTATTTCTCCGATTGGAGGGTAGTATTTAGAAACAATTTTCTGATTGGAAGAACATAGAAAATGTGGCATTTATTAATTGTTGCCGTATTTTACACATTCTAGAATAGGCTCCTTTCAAAGCCTATTATTTGTGGGGGCCCAACAATTAAATTCGCATTTATTCGTGTATTTATTGTCTTTCTGGTGCAGGGGGTTAGATAATTGCAGATACGTAATAATTTTCATAGGATTCAAAACACAGAATAGTACCAGTAAAGCAGTTGACAAAAAATTTGCATGAAATATTCAACTAGAGGCCGTATAACATTTAGTGAAAGGGTTAGAACAAAAGTTTGACGAACCTTTTGTGGAATTACGTTGCAACCCCACGATTTGGTCCTT